CGAGTTTGGTCCAATTGGATCCATGTAAATTTGATTTTTTATAGCGAAACACCCCATATATTTTTTCAAATTTGAATGTGCCATTTTATTCTCTTTCCATCCATACTATGGTTTCCTATACTTATCTCTTCTAGTTTTATGTTAAATGAAGTTATTTGGGTACTTTACTGAAAAAGATAATATTATCTACGTACTCGTACTTACCTAACTGCGAAGTTGTCTGTGAAAATTACAAAACAAACGAAAGCCGTCAACCATTATTTGACGTCAAGAAATTGTTGTTGTACCAGTTTAAAACAACATGGAGAGAAATAATTACACACATGAAGTTATTATTATTAGAAGATTTAATGAAACCTACCCAAACTTACAACCAATGCAGAACAAAAAGTTTAGAAGGATCTTTACAGAGATAAAAAAATAAATTTAAGACAATATCTACAACTGTTCAAAATGCACATCTCCTGAAATTAAAGCAAAGAAGAGCGTTTTTGCAGAAAAGAATGGCGATAAAATACAGAAATAGGAAGGAAAGAAAAATTCAAGGAAACAGAAGAAAACAGCAGTAGGCAAGAAGGTAGTAAAGCCCTCTCAAACAAAGGAGATATGTGATACACACTACATTTGATAGATAGATAATCTGATTCATCTCAGGAGGTTTCAGGCAAAATATTGCCCAATGTGGTGACTATTATTTCACAACGAAATTGATTGATTCAATCCAGTGGCTTCATGAGATATGAACTCGGAGAGCATAGTAATGATTGTGGAAGAAAGAACACCTCTGACTCAAATCTGGGCCATTTTTAACCATCCTATGGTGTAAAACGCCCAAAAATTGTTTTGCCAACATTTTCAAAGTATTCAGTATACCGTGTTGCAAAACTGATGTGTTAATCTGTATTACTGACTTAGGTTTATCCAAAACAAAACTAAATAATGATGTCTCTAAATAAAATTAATACAGAAACACATACCAGATATACTAAAATTGTTAAACAACAAAATAAACTGTCACATGTAGACTTTTAAGTCAATGTATAGCGAAATTTCGGTAAGCAAAATCAAATTCGAAAAGAGATTCAATATTTAAAATTAAATATTTATTTTATTATAAACACATTTTACTGAGTTTTGCAATGAAAAGTCATATAAAATAGACAATGCAATCTTAAATATAAACAAACTTGCAGTGTAGTTTCCAGTCTGTTATATAATGCGCCGAGGCCACACTGTACCAAAAGTATAATTATCCTGTAACACCCGTGGTGATCTAAATCTAACACTTTGGTTTTTCATGATAATACAAGATTTCTATCTGAATCAACTTCTCTGTTCTGAACAATATTATACTCATAAACTACACTACAAGATGTGGATAAATTCCAATTATTTTCGAAATTATTATCATAGGTATTTTAATACTAAATAGGAATGCTTATGCAACACTTACTAGAAAAGTTAAGCGTAATACATGTATTTTTTTATAACTTGTTCCTAACTGGACAAGCTTACCAGTAGTTTGTCAATAAACCGCTTCTAAAACATGTAAAACCACTTTGCACAACATACTAATAGCGGAAGCAGTATGCAATTTGCACCGCGTTCCTATACATTGATTGACATTGATCGATCCAGTCAATTATTTACATCGTTTTCTAGATTTGAGGATAATTGAAACAATACTGAACTGAATGAAAGTAGTAATTAAGGTATCTAGTGTGTTACGTGAATAATAGTGCGTCGAGGTCGACATTGTGCCGAGGGCATCTTTATCCTATAACACCCGTGGTGTCTATTAGGTTTAGTGACCTACTAGTTTGTTATTTAATTCCAAATTTCTCTATAAAATGTCGGATGAAGAACAGAATCGGTAGAAAAGAAAAATTTGTGTCCAACATAAAGTATAAGTGCTTGAGAATTAGAACAGAAAATAGCAAAAGCACGAAAAAATCTATTGAAGAGAAGATTGTCGAGCCAGAACCTCCGCACTTCGTTCGAGAGCGTAAACTAATCGACATAGGTACTCTAGGTGACACAAAGCATGCACTGCTCTTTTTGCAAAGAACTTTTATAGAAAATTCCGAATAGTGTCGATGGATATTCGAAGGAAACCGACTTTAGCTGTTTCTTTTTTTAGTCGTATTTCACCTGTTTTTTTTTAATTTCCAGACAAAAATGTGTAATCTGATATTAAATGATGTGTGCAATTTATTTTTGCTGTCAGTATTAACGTATCTCTAAAGTTGTGTGTTGAGTAGTAGTTAACTTTCGTTTTTGTTATAGACGCCATATTGATCTTTTGCTTCATTAGAAGGAAAGGGAAATTCTCTTTATAACGATGTATAATTTATGGGGTTTTCATAAATAGATAATCAAGATATTGCATATAATTATAATTTTAATGAAAAAATCAAGTAGCCATGCGAAACCTTGAATTTTTTAATACTTTTTAACACAGTAACCTTTATTTACATAACAATAACAACAGCAACTAACAAAAGAACATAGTAAAGCGAAACAAAATTAAACGGTAAATTGAAATTTTATTACAAATATTCGAAGTGCATAGGTTACAACTAGGGCTCTCAGAACTGAGCCGCGGGACATAGGCGTACGCATTATTTATCAAAAAGCAACAAATTAAATATAGAGTATATTAACGTGATTTGAACGTAAAAAGCCACGGCAGTGGCTCACGCATGTCTCGGTTGACCCGCCATTGAATTGCGGCTCTCTCTGACAGCCGTAGTTATAACTATATTTTTATTGGTTTATATATTCACTAAAGCTGTAAGAATTGAATACAAAGTTATTTTTGAAAAAAATAAGCTATAGAAAAACCATTCAAATTTCCATTTTAAACTTATTTATTAAAAGTTCTATAACCAAATTAAACTAAACATGCCACTTAGAATAATTTAAAGTAACATTATATTACAAAACAGAAGTACGTAAATATTTGAATTTTTTTATTAATCCTGTTAACAGGTGTACTTTCTAGAATAACTTTAGCAATATTTTACAACCACCACAACGTTATTTCAACTAATCTGCACCACCAATGACTGTAGTGTATATTTTCGCTCGTACTAACTGGATTCTAACGCACATTTTGACTAAAGAATAAATATTATACTGGCCGATTCAAAATAAATTTGAATATTTGTCAGTATAACACAAGATAGTTCTGCTAAACTGTTGGATGGTTATTATTTAAGACATAGTGTTAGGTACCTATTTCTGGGGGTCGTTAATAGGTATATTTACTTTACGGTGAACGTAGACGAAATGATGTAGACGCAGATCGAATGTATACGAATCATTTTCTAGTACCTGTTTATCAAGATTTATAATTCTTTTTCACCTAGGTCAGTCACAAGTTGTTTTATTTTTTATGTAGTTTAGTTTAATATGAGGAAATATAATTTTTCATAAAAAGTAATGTAAACACTATGTATAATTTACCGATTTGATATTTTAATTATGCTTTTCCAAAATCTGTTGGGAATAAATTGGAAAAATGGAAAATATCCAATATTAGGTTAACAATAAGTTAAATTAAGTTTAAGAATAGCGTTCCATTTTGGGAACGATTTTATCTACATTAGTGGCACATAATTTAAGACAAAATAGTGAAATATCAGAATACATTTCGTTTGCGAAAGCACGTGGTTGTAAATTAAGGAAAAATAAAGGAAAAACACGCCGAACAGACGTGTTTTCAGGGAATTCTCTCTACGAGTCCGTGATTTGACGTCGTTAAGTGTTCTGCTCTCCTCACCTGTATTTCCACGGTGACACATGACCTTTAATAATACAGTAGCTGGTAACAAGTGCTGTTAGCTGGAACACAGAATTTTGTGAAGCAATTTGGCGTAAACTGCTTCCAAACTCGCAACTACTAAGCATGATTCATGATATCCAATCCATTAATATTTAACGTGTTGAACTTTCTAACTGATTTTTTAATACCCCGCAACACGTCGGAAAAATTTGAATGGTGGGATATTTACATTGATAACATATTACATAAAGTTAATTTTAAACAATATGTCCAAGCATTACTTCCTAATGAAATGAATAAATATCATTGTGTTCACTGATAATGAGAAAATCATTCAAAATTGATTCAAATTCTAGTTAGAACGGCCCACGCCATGTGTCATCTGTCATTAACAACATTTTCAGTTGGAATAAAAACACCTTACAACAAAACAGTAAAATTTTTGCTGTAAATTGAAAAAGATTACTTTTTTATTGAGTTGACACTAAAACTTCATTAATTTAAAAGGATGAAAATATGAAGACGACTACACTGAGAAAAAAATTGGCTAAAGTATCTTGCAGTAATAACTAAACTATGTTACTGTTACTACAACTTTCAGCTAAATGTAATTTTAATTAACCGTAACGTAATATTGTAGTAATTTAATATTTCAGCTGTAACAAGTATTTTATTTCAGGTAAATAATTAAATTAGGTGAACTGAATTGCTATAGTAGAAAAATGTTAATTGTGGGTTAGTTTTAGTTTCACTAGAACATTAGAGACAAGAACTTTTGTTACTATTGAAATAAATTTCTTACTTATCTTAGAAAGCTTAATCATTTTACCTAAATAAAAAATGGGTAGATATAACAATATATATTCAATTCCAAAGAGTAAGTGAACATTAATTACTAGTGCATTTGGTACGAAAGCAAAGTTTTCTCTTGAAATCTGATTATTAGTAAACTGTCAATCAAGTTATGTGATATTTCTTTTTAGATAACAGTTATTTATTAAATCAACACATTTTCGTGGAAGAGATTATTTAATATTGGAATTTTATTTCACTGACAAAATATGCAGACAATTAAAGTGTAGGTAGTAAATATGTTACAAACATATATCCAAGTAAACAAATAAGCTTCAACTAACCTATATATTGCATGCCAAAATAACTCTTCTTGTAAGCTATGTATTATCATTATTATTTTAATTAAAAGCACACTTACTTTTTTAACACCGTACCTATGGAATCCTCATATTGTAGTTCATTAATCTTGAAATAAATAATATACAAACATCACATACCAGTATACGTAGAATGTAATAATTGTATAATTATGTCTTAGTAAAAATACACATCATTAGTATTGTTTTTCATAAATTTGAAATTACACACATACAAAGGGATTCACGAATTGTACACTATACCAGCATAACGTTGACTTAAAATTATATTTACGATGGAACATCGGAACATTTTGCATTTGTTCGTGACGCAAATGGGCGGGGAAAAAATGTACACTACCGTTTGCTACCGTATTTACTGGAAGTGAATTTTAAAATTCAATAAAACACTAATACAGTGATGATCAGAAGTCTGCACATACAGGAAATATTTTTCTTGTATAGTATTCAAGATACCTGCGACAGTTAAAAGAATATTTAGGGTAATTCATTTTTTTTAGCTGTACGAGGTCTATTCAGAAAATAACGGATCTTTTTGAAGTACGCGCTAATGGAAATAGTGATATGCGGTTGGCAGCATTGCATTACGCACAACCTCCTTTGTAATCACATGTTCTTAGATTGTTGATATCTCATTTATACTTGAAATTTATTCTTGAAATGTTCGATTCTCTGGAACAACGATACAACATAAATGAACTGAATCAGTTCACAGAAGCAGAGATGATTTCAGCCTTAAAAAAAACTAACCCAGAAATACTATGGGCCCAGATAAAATCCCTGCATTTGTACTTAATGATTGTGCATGTGTTTTAGTTATCTTACCATCTTGTTTAATTTGTCTATTAGATGTAATACTTATCCTAGTGTATTAAAAATTTCTAAAGTAATTCCTGTTTATAAACAAGGTGAAAGAAATCATATAGTTTGGAGGGATTGGAGGGTTTTTTTCTCAATGTAGAGAATAATACAAATTTTTGGCAATGGAGCTACAAAATACATACATATATGACATTTCTCATGTCATAGGTAATAATTTATGGACAAATTAAGAAGATCTTTGTAAATTGCGACAAATGTATGTATTGTATCATAAAAAGTTGCTGCAATTTTCTTCTGTCTGAATTGCATAATATACTAGGCGTTACGTTTAATAATAATTCGTGTGCATTGATTAAAACGTTAATGTATTACGAAAAAGTAACGGGATAATAAATTAATACTAACCATAAGAATAGAGACACCTTAAAACGCCGAAGAAAAAAGATCTGAACCGATACCTCGTTATAAATAATGTTCTCAACCAGTCTTAGTTTTCCAAAAAACACCTTTGGTGTATTTATAACCTCTCCCGTAGTTAAATATTCTCCTTTGTCCTGTCCCACATAAAATATTAAAGCGGACTTTTTTTCATGAGCAATTTAAAACCCATCAGCTGAATGCAGATGTGACTGATATTGTATTTGTTAATGTGTATACAAAGGTGTGTGGGGGTATTTTATTACGTTTAATGTAATTAATAAGATGTTCTCAGGCTGATGGTGGAATGACACGCACGGTCTAAATGCAGAAATGCCCTTCATCACGTGCTTCGCGGCATTTTGGGTATAAGTGGGGGATTGCGGACTGAAGGTTTGTTTATGGATTCAATGTTTTTAGTCCCTCAGTTACAATTTGCAAGTTAATAAATTCTCAGTTTTTGCATTGAACAACTTTATGGGTTATCTTTTATTCCGAAGATTTTGCTATTGAAACCACATAAAAAAGTTAACCATGACATATTATAATGTTTAATTTTTAGGAAGGTCAATTTGATAACTCTTTTTCGGTCCGAAAACTCGATTGAAATAAATATTTTTTGCAAATAGCATGAATAATTTTTTTAATACTTACTGACTTACCACATTGATACGATGAAAACTTTTTGGAACTGCTGACTTCACCGATAGGTCTGTCTCTGTTTGCACGTATTTGGAAATAATTGCATATAAGGATGTGTGCAGTTATCTCGCAGTTTTCATCAGTTTTTCCATACGTTATCACCATGTTCATTAATTCATTATTGTATTGATAGTCCATTTTAATATTTTTATTTGCACTTATTAATAAGCATGCCACAAGTACGCTGTCCTTTCACGAAAAGAAAGCACAGAATGTAGGAAAAAATGAATTCACATAAACATTTATTCACTAATCACATACTTATGTGTTTCTGAACGAGTAATTTTCCCATTTACTACAAAATACGGATCAAAGAAGCAGACGATATGCCATTTATAACCACAAATATTCATTTCGTTTCATGCAGCTGGAGACGATTCCGGAGGTTCTCAATAAGTTTTAACAATTTTAATTTTTTTAATTTTAAGCTCCGTTTTGCAGTTTCAACGATCTTGTTTATTTAAAATGCCATTATTAATGCATTCTACCTACTAAAAATCGTCTCCAATTTTATGAATATCCTGTACAGTTATGTCTTAAGCTTGAACTGCAAGAATGTTCTTTAAAAGTAATGTCTGCCTGTGAATTTATATACACTATGTACCAAAATAATGGAACAAAATTCATATTTTTTCCAGTTCAGAATTTAAAAAAATCGCTGGTAAATACAAATTGTCACTTTCCTACAATATTTCCGATTTTTGTGAGCCATGTTTGACAGACATATAACATTACCGACATTTTTTTCTGAATAGGACGCTCTATATTTTATAGTATAAATAGATGGCCCTTTTAAAGACGAATTCGGTGATATAAGGTTATACTATACCTACTTTCTTGTCATGGTTGTCAAAAAAATGTAAAAAATTGTCTTTTATGTCGTACTGACGACTATTTCAAACAAGCATAGTCTCTTCTGTACTTTCGAAAAATGTACCTATTCTTTATTAATGTTTTTCCACTTACTTTCAAGCTTTTATTCTTAAAAAAAACTCATCGATACACACATAAAATTCACCAGAGTACCTTAGGTATAACGTGAATCGTTTTAGTTCCAATTCAATCGTTGTTAAATTATTTTGAAAAATGATTGCACGTTTAAGCGAAAAACATATATTAATTGAAATTTTAATTATGATTGGATGCGGAGATAAAATCCGCAGTCAACCGGAGGTATTTGACTTATTTCACCATAAGTATCCAGACCAGAGAATTAATCAAGCTACAATAAGTATTCAAAAAGTTTGAAGAAACCGAAAGTGTAAAAGATTTACCTGAATCAGAAGGGTAAAGAACGGTAAGCGAAAGTGATCGTCAAAATGTGATGCTCGCCGTTACTGAAAATCCTCACTCATCCATTAGATCTATCTCGGCCAACTTCAACTTGTCGCAGTCCTCAGTTCACAGAACTCTGAAGTCTCAAAAGCTGCATCCTTACAAAGTTAACGTCTTACAAGAACTATGGGCAGATGACACAGACAGAAGATTACAGTTTTGCGAGGAAATTAGAAATTTATTTGAAAGACAACCCAATTTAAAAAACCACATAATTTTCACTAACGAAGCGACTTTTTTCTTAAACGGAACCGGAAACGGATACTGGGTTTTTGAGCCCAGAAGTGAATGTTTGGGCTGGAATAGTAGGAAATCGCATACTGGGACCTTATTTCTTTGAGGGCAATTTGACAGGCGACATTTTTTTGGATTTTTTACATCTTCAACTGATTCCAGCCCTGGAATTAATTTTTCCTTACCCTAATGAGCACGATATACCTGCTGGTGATGTCTGGTTCCAACAAGATGGCGCCCCTCCACATTTTCGCTTCGATGTAAGAAATTACCTTAATGAAGTTTTCCCAAATCGAGGGATCGGCAGAAGAGGGTTGCTTGAATGGCCACCATGCTCCCCTGACTTAACCCCACTAGCCAATCCATCAACTTTTTAACTAATGATATTGTGAGAAACAACTACTCCACTATATGCCTCGACTGGTATTGAATTACATTTCAAATATCTAGTAAGTAGCCAAGATCTTAGCTCCTATCTATTAGTAAGTCACTCTGTGTTAGTAGGTAGAAAGCAATTGTTTTTGCCGACAGGCATCAAGTTCATGACTACATAATATTTGATTTAGTTGCCGAATAAACGTCCTAACGTTACGTTCACAGGACATTTCACCAAAAGTTTAAATTTAAATTTCGATGAAATTTATATGCGTCAAATTAATTATTTATAGAATAAATTAATTCTTGCCATCAGTGAACACCGCGTAACGTACATTCAAATCAGAGACAATATTGTTAATTAAAACTGAAAACATTAAGAGCCCAAGCAAAGACCCCTGCGTAACTCCTGAAGTCTGGGCGATTTCGGCAGACTTGAGCTCAAAACTTGGACAAACTCAGGTCTGAGGTTTAATTGCAAACATCTGATTTCCTCAAAAATTGTTTATTAAGGCTTTTTTTATACAGGCTGTCTCCTAAAAAACGCCTCAAGCCATAACTCCGTTATTTATACTCTGATTTGAAAAAACAAAAAATTAAATTAAATTATTAGAGCTCATTTACTATTTTTTTTTTTTGTGAAATGCGATAGTCAATTTTTTTTTTCAAATAAAAGTCAATAAAGTTTTTTTGTTATTTATTATAGTGCAGATTTATTTTCTGAATCCAACGATGTATATGAACTTTACTTTTGTAAAGCATTTATTACAGAAAAGACGACAAAATATTAGTCGATCACCAATTCATGACAAATGTATTTTAACTAATCATCTGTGCCACGGAAAACAAAAAATAATACAGCAATGCAAATAAAACTCAAAAGAGAATTTTATAGTTAACAGAAAAGAAACAATACAATGATTATCAATTAAAAGAAAAACAATTTAATTAAATACATTAACATTAACATTATACAAAGTTCAACACGAAATAACATTAATTAAACACAAAACACATTAACGAAGAACAACAAACACAAAACAACTAAAAAAACAAATTGTAGCCGTCCTCTATTGCCTGTACTTTTGAGGAATGTATGGCTTGAATTTGTGCTTTTTCAATACTTACAGTACAGTACAGTATTATTAGAAATTTCCCGAATGGAAGTTCTTGGATTTTCTTCAACGTTAAGAAGAACATTGACCTCGATGTTTTCATTAAATTGGCGTTTTTCTCGCTTTTTCTTCAAGTCTTACAAATCTACGTGGTTCTGGAACTTCTCTGTGAGGAAATAGCTCTGTAAAGGCGGACTCCTGCACCACGATTTTTATTACAACGAAAG